TGTTGTTGGTTTCAGTGACTGGTGAAACCATGTTTTGGTTTGACCACCACTAGCTAGCTCTTTTCCAGCCTGACCCTATGTCAACTAACATTGCCCGTCGAGGAAGGTGATGAATAGGCATACGTAACACATGTCTGACCATCTCAGTCGATGTAGCTTCATGGCCTCGTAGATTGATTTCCCCTCCCTACTTACCTAACACTCGACCGTTGCCTGACCTCAATATTGCTCACCCTATTATACCACTTCACATGGGAGATAGAGCGCAGGCACCTATGATCAAAGATAGATAGCCTTTTAATGTCTTCCACTCTCAATTGTCAGGTTTCACAGCCATAAAGGAGGACGGAGCGGACTCCTGAGCAGTACACACTTCTTTTGGTCGACAGCCAGCCGGATATCACGTCTACGCCAGAGACGTCATAAACTGGTATATGCAAAACTAGCCCTCTGTATCCGTGCTGAGATTTCGTCAGTGTTGGCTGATGCAACGTCCCAAATAAGTGAAGCAATCAACGTGCTCTACCATTTCACTCTCTATCTTTAAGTTAGGAGTCAATGTAGTCCAGTCCTGTACCATTATCTTACATTTGGTGAGAGCAAATCGCATGCCAAACCATCGCAGATTGCAGCTCGAGGTGTTCAGAAGACTCTGCATTTTGTTTAACCGCCTCTAACTCTATTACAACCTAATCCCATGTCGGTTAACATTGCTCGTTGGGGAAGGTGACGGCTCATCATGTCCAGCCCATGTTCCAGCAATTTCAATCGTTTCACTATCACAATATCATCAATTGATTTACTGTCCTTACCTGAAACAGTACGCTTAACCTAAATATTACTCACTATTGTTTATCACCTGTCACGTCAAGGAAAGCATTTCCAACGGCTGCTTTCGATGACTCCATATTGAAGACCAAATAACCAGAGAGAATTAGCAGCAGGAAACTATTGGAAAAAACCCAGCTAAAAACCTATTACCCAACAAATCTGTGGAAAAAATAGAGATGTTCTCCTAGGATATTCTCCTAGGAGACTGTTGAAGGGTATCGCACACCAAGCTGAGCCTCGAGTGAGACATCAATGAGAAAAAATAAGTTGTGCGTCGGTCCGAGAGATGAGAGACTATAGGCAGTCGTGGGGATAGGGGACAAAATCAAGAAACTGCTGCTGATCAATGGCTGCCGGCATTTTAATATCTTCCAATATCATTGGCTAGGTCTTAAAGCCATAAATGAGGACAGAGTGAACTGCTATGTAGTACACACCTCCTTTTATCGATTGGTGGATATCTAATCTACGCCAGAGATAATTGGCGTATTCGGCAAATGCAATATTATCCTTTTGCATACTTTGCTTTGACTTCTTTGGCAATCAGTCGCCCAATATGGCACCTTGCCAAGAAAGAGACGTGATCAACACGATCTTCTACTCCACTCCCTGTAGCATTATCATATATTTCACAGAAGAAAGCAGCATGCCAAACATTTGAAGATTTGCACTTAATGGATTCAGAAGACTTTGAATTTTACCAGTGTCTTCATCTAGGAGGACTATGTCATCCACATACTATAAGTCTACAGAACTGTCCACGTATAGCAAAAGGAGTATAATGACATATTAGATAGGTTTCCATCATAGAGCACTGAAAGACTTTTCGAGTGTAATTTGTTACTCACAAAAGGTACGCAAAGAAAGCAAAATGTTTTAGATTTTCCATTCTTTTTGTTGTTAATGTCGCTATGTTGTACCGAGTCATATGGTTCCCCGAGATTTACAACACTTGAATGTCAGAGTTTAGGAGTCGAATTCTCGCCAGCCACACAACATTCAATTTGTGATAGAACTTAAGAAGATCTTCCTAATTCCCGACTAAACTCACATCTAGTTTCCACTAGTGTATTATCAAAGGTTAGACAACATAAATGTACTATTACAACAGATATTGATTTTACGTACTTTGATCAACTTCAAGTCTCATAGATCACTACTAACTACAGATAGAAGCATCTTCCAATACATTAGGAGTTTTGAGATACTAAAGACACTCATAAAGGAAATTCTAGCGATGGTTTTGAAGTGAAAACAGGAGTAGGAAAAGGCTGTCTATTATTGCCAGTAATATTTTTATAGTCGTGCACTAGATCATGCAGCAGACCGTAGGGAGAGGGAAGAAAGAAGAGGAGCACATTGGGTAGACAAAGAGACTGGGGAAGATTTGAACTTTGCGAACGATTTATGTTTCAATGTACCAAGTTGGCAAAAGTGACAGACAGTGAGGACAAGACTTCCAGTGAACATAAAGTAAAAAGTGTTGACGAAGATAACACTCAAGCAACAAGTTAGCCAAAGAAGCGTTGAAGATAAGAGGGACTTCAGTTGGACATGGAGAAAACAGAGTTGGTTATGAAGATTCCTGGCCAGCAGCAAAAGCAATAACAACAGACAACAATCAGCATAAATGGGAGAAACCTGAAAGAAGCAACCTCCATTGGCTACCTAACTACTCACCTAGGAAGCATCGTTTCAACTACAGGCGGACGGAACTGATGAGGAGATCAGAAAGACTCTCAAGACTATGTGGAGATCAACACTCAGCACTGAGCATGAAAATTAAGATCTGAATTTTCAACTTCAATGTGAAGTCAGTACTAATGCAGGGATCGAAGACCTGCGCGTAACAAAAGACACTTCGAACAAACTACAGACCTTCATCAACAGCTGTCTTCGTTCAGCACTACTCAAGATATGATGACCGGCCAGGAAAAATCAGCAACAGGTATCTCTGGGAACGACGAACCAACCCAGCAGGAACCGAGTGTGCGAGAAATATGCGGGAATTAAATGGAGATAGATTGGCCATACTCTGAGAAAATCATCAAGTGACATCACTAGACAGGCCCTTAAGTGAAACCTGAAAAGGAATCAGCGAGTTGACCGTCAAGGCAGGGCTGACATGGAGAAGTAGGTGATGTGAAGAGGAGATGAAAGCTTGTGGGCAGAGGTGGAGCCAGGCGAAAACGTTGACGGAGAACCAAACGCAATGAAGATGTGCGACTGGAGCCCTATGTTCCTCTCGGAACTAAAGGAAGCAATAATTAAAATAATAATAATAATATACAAGCACCAGTCACTATAAATGAAAGAAATTTGAACGAGGTCATTTCTTCCACTAATCTAAACAGTATCGTTTCAACTACAGGTGCCTTAGAAGATATCGCATCCATCTAGCTGCATATGGAAAGAGAAATTCAGATTCTCAACACTAATGCCATGTCGGTCAGTCCTTTTGTATGCTTCAGAGACTTGTCGCGCATGTCACTCAAAGCATTTCGGAAAGGATTCAGTCGTTCAGATCTCAACAACTGCCTTCCCTTCATACTGACGATAAGATGTCTGGCCGAAAATGGTTAGCGATAAAGAGCTGTGTCAGGTAAAGAAACAACTAAGAAACCTGCTGTCTAACAGATATGCTGATGAAAATGGGTCGAATGGACACACATTGAGTAGGCCTATGCATAATGCATGTAACAGAGATCAACCACGAATCCGGGTAAACAGGACTTCAGATACCAGGCTAAAATGTAGATGTGCTTTTGAAGCTATATGCTACACCTGAAACTTAAGGGAATAATGTTAGTAATAAAGGCATTGCTGTACGATAATACTGCATGCCAAGTAATCCACAGCGGGAAACTTACGCAATCCTTCGAAGTGAGGACAGGAGTAAGAAAAGCTGGCTGCCTACTATCGCCAATGATTTTCCTGATTGCAGTAGATTGGATAATGCGGCAAACAGCGGGCAATCAGGAAACAGGCATAAAATGGACCCACACAAAAAACTTGGAGGATCTGGAGTTCACCGATGATATATGTTTGATTTCTTACAACCTTGAAGATATGCGATTGATGAAAAGCAACAAGTTGGCAGAAGAAGCATCCAGAGAAGATAGGACTTCAGGTGAACATAGAGAAAACAGAGGTGATGAAGATTCCTGGGCAACACCACCAACAGCAACAAAAACAGACAACAATCAGCATAAATGGGAGGAACCTGAAAGAAACAACCTCCTTTACATACCTACCGACCTGCGAAGCATCGTTTCATCTACAGGCGGAACTGACGAGGATATCAAAGCAAGAATCGGAAAAGCAAGACAAACTTTCATTACTCTCAAGTCTGTGTGGAGGTCAACAGCACTCAGCATCAAAAATAAGATGGCGATTTTCAATTCCAATGTGAAGTCAGTGCTACTTAACATACGGATCAGAGACTTGCACTTCGCGTCATAAAGAGCATCTCAAACGAACTACAGACCTTCATTAACAGTTTTCTTCGCTAAATACGCAAGATCAGATGGTCAGAAAAGATCAGAAACAGAGATCTCTAGCAATGAGCGAACCAACCACGAAATGACTGTGAAACAAATAGGCAGGAATAAATGGAGATGGATTGGCCATACTCTGGAGAAACCATCAAGTGACATCACTAGACTAGCCCACGAGTGGAACCTTAGAGGAGACGGCGAGTTGGTCGTCCAAGGGTGACTTGGAGGAGGTCATGTGATGAGGAGATGAAAACGTGTGGGCAGACTTGGAGCCAGGTGAAGACTCTAGCAGAGAACCGTATGCAATGCAAACGCACGGCTGGAGCCCTATGTTCCTCTAGGAATTAAAGGAAACAATAATAATAATAAACAAAGACACTGCAAAACATACACTAACCGGAATTGATTCCTCTAGGCAACATGAATATAAGCTGTTTTCAAATCAGCATCTGTCCATTATTACTCTGCTTATTATTTTCATTATTTATTTGTTAGCGACAAAAGAATTAGTTCCTGTTAAAACTTTGGAAAAAAACTGTGATACTTTCTCCTCAATAATACGTCTAATCAATTTCCTTCCTGTTTGCCTTGCCTGGCAAATAACAAACAATATCTAAAGGCATCACATGTTAACTCTCTCCCTTCTTGCTTTCTGTTTTTTGTTTTCCATAGCTGAAATTTTTCAATGATCCAACAATGCTGTTACTCGATGGAATGACTAATTTTGACGTGAAATCTGATGATGATAGAACACGTGCTTTACAGATTCTACAAAATAATGCGGAAAATCTTTCCAAGGTAAGTAAGTGGGCTATAGCATAATTTCGTATATTACTGTTTGATATTGGGTTGATATTCCATTTTTTGTCCATAGATTCTATCTTTTCTTAAATCTTAGGCGTTGTGAGTTCTCTTTTTTTCTCTCTGCCTGTCGATCTGTGACCTTAACGGTGGCCTTACATGTCGTGGGATTTCATAATAATAATAATTTGCTTTATTCCAGAAACAGTACTAGTGGTACAGTGTAGAATTTTCAGCACAAATCTACAATATTTGCATCTAATTTTATCGAACGTTCAAAAGGAGTATTTCAAAAAAATAAATATAAAGACACCAACAGAAAAAAAACAACACAAAAAACGCAAAAATAATTTTTAAAAATGCGAAAAAATACCAAAAATTAGAAAGGAAAATAAACAGCATATAATAATAGCTCAGTATTGGGTAGTGGAAGCTGTGATGTGATTATGCATGGTGACAGTAAAGCTGTAGTCATACAAGAAGTTATGAAATGATATTTAAGAATGTTTATCGCCAAGACGATCAGTTAATTTAGGTTGAAACAACTCTAAACAAACATAAAATAACATTTCAGGGTTTTTGTTTTGTTTTTTATTGTCAGGCCTAATGCAGTGTTTATAGTAGTAGTGTGAGAAAATTTTAGGGTGGTGACAATGGCGTTCACAAACAATGGTTGTCAGTTTAGTATTGCCGAAAAACAAAAAAAGGAAAAAACAAAAAATAAGAAAAAAACAACCACAAAATTAATAATTACATGATGGTTAATAGCAGGACAATTTTGTACTACTCATAGTGCTAATATAGTCGGAACCAGTAGATACACAAATGAAGGAATACAGCTAAGTACAAGAAAGTAAGCCAATGTTAATAATTTAGGTAGCTAAGTATGTTTAAGAAGGAGTTCACTATAGAATACAAAATAAGGGAGAAATAAGTGAGCCTAAATTGATGTTATTAACAACAAAGCAAGTCATAGGTTTCGCGCTTAACATTGTCTCTGTCACTTAGAACACGGGCCAAGTATGGTATTGTTGAGTTCCTGTGGTTGGCTTTACGAGCATAGATTATTTTATACTGATTTCTGGTTCTACTTGATGAAATACAGTGCGAGAGTTGGCAATAGAGGGGGTGTTCGGGCTCGGAGAGTATGGTTTTAGACCATTTTTCGCATGTATTCAGATGTCTTTCAACTAATGTATTGACGAGCTGACTGAGTTTTACACCACTAGTCCTACTAACTACCTTCAACATCCTTCTTAGGATGGTATTATCAAATAAAATAGATCTGGTACCACGCTGGAAGTTTGTCAGTCATTGGTACTTAGCACAGATGTCACTTGGAGTTACTATTGGATCTTGTAACAAGACGTTTAACAACCTTCTTCTGATATCATAATCAAACCCAGATGTCACTGTAGGCTGCCAATGGGTATAAGTGCCTTAAATTGATCGTCCAAAATCCATGAGAAAAAGTCATTGTCATTTATGATTAGTTTAAGACAGTGACGAGAGTTGAGTGATCATAACCGAAGCATTGTCTTAATGTCTGCAGTATGCTGTCAAATGTACTATCACTTGGGTAGTTTTGAGGCAAAATCGTGTTGCTATATTAAGTCGAATTCAAATGGACCCAATTTTCGAAGTAAGAGACGCCTTCTGAAAGAATTATCTTGGCCAGGAACATCTATTTTGGAATTGTTTTCATACCTCTTCAATGAAGTGTCAAATATTTCATAATGATATCAGGATCATAGTGGAACTGAAGGGGTTATTGCAGCCGAAGTAGTCTAAGGTGATTCAAAACTGGGCATTTTTGAGTCCGTGGGCAGCAAGATAACTTTCTTTGCTTGTTCAAGGAATCTATCCAACTTTGATGAATCCTACATATGCACCGCCATTTTTTGTTTTCTCTAATTTCTTTCGCTTGTACGAATTTCGATTCCCAGATGGGTCACCAGTGAATACTGATGAAGAGTTCTGTGCTGGGACGAAATATTTGTCCAGTACTTTAACCGACATTAACCCACGCGTATCAAAACTGAAACAAAATAATTAAAAGGCATTCCTTAAAGTAGAGGAGCCACTAATTAAAGTCAGTGTTGCTCATTTCTGAACATGACATCTGATGAATCTAAAAGCCCAGTTTTAATTATCTGGTTCATGCCTTATGTGAAAGGTTTTCCCAGGGTGAACGATATTAACCTTAGCTTCCTGTTGACTGGGATATAAAAAGTCCTCTACTTTACAAATAATCTGAAATGTTAACGTTCATCCTTTAGATTAAAAAATGGATTTTCGAGAGTAATATTGGCAAACTCATTTAGTTTGAAAAACAGTACTTGCAATATAGAATGGAATTCTCAGCATTTGTCACAGCATCGCATCTGATTTACTCAAAATATAAATAAAATTAAAACAAAATTAACCAGAGGAATTTGTCCACATTTACGGTATAAAGTCAAAAATATTCAAAGTACAAAGTGAGAATAATAAATATAATAATAATAATAACAGTGAGTTTGTTTCAAACAGTATTGTCGATTCAGTTTGGAAATTTTAGCATGTTATAGATTATTGGATCTAATGTCCTGTTGACATAGAATGGTGAGGGGAAAAGAAAACAATTAATACATAGCTTAAATGATGTTTACAGTTATGAAAAACATTTAAAAAAATGAGAGGACTATAAATATAAGAAGAATAATAACAGTAAGACTTGCTAGTATAAGGATGGGGTAAATTGTTTTTATACCACAGGAAAGAAGGTTAGTTAGTCAGTTCGTGCCTGACACTATTTTCATCACATAAAATATGTGCTAAATCTAATATTTTTATACTTAGACGTGCACGCATAAAGTCTTTTGAAATGACTTCTGTTTTGCCTGAAGAGACACTAGGTTGGAGCTGCGGGTAAAGTAGATGCTTGCAGTCTGAAAAAGTCCTTTAGCAAATTTGTTGCATGAAATCAAGTGCCTATCAACGATATGGTCCGATTGGATACCACTACTCACCCTACTGACAGCTAGTCTTCAGAGTTCTACGAAGTATGACATAGTCTTTTTTAAGCAACCCAGGAATGAATAAGGGTGAGGAGTAAAGAATAATAGGTTAGATGCACGAGTCGCCAAGCTTTAAGAGGAGGGATTGGGTTATGCCTGAATGCCTTAACTTCTTAATGTAAAAAGTCAGACGAAATATTCTTTTAGAAATCGCTAAGACATGGAAGGACCAGGATAGGACAGAAGAGAGAACTAATCCAAGATACTTAACTTCAGACTTGATTTCTATATCAGTATGGACAATTTTGCAACGGTCATAGGAACCAACAGCTTCATTTAACTTTCTTTTACATCGGAAACTGAAATTAACAGTCTGACATTTGGAAGGATTTAGTTTAAGGTCGTTAGACGAAGACTATTTGCTAATTCATGATAGAAAACTGTTCATCTTAGTATAGTCTAGCTGGAAGTCAACAGACATTGAAATAGTTAGATCATCGGCATATCTAACAAAGTTCATTTCATCAGAGTGAGGCAAGTCATGCAAGAAGAAAGAAAACAGAAAAGGAGAAAGGACAACGCCTTGAGGGACACCAGTCTCAGTAAGCAATGAAGTGGAAGACTTTCCTTGACATACAGTGTACTGCTTTCTTCCCAAGAAATAAAAAAGCAGCCAATTGACAACCCAACAGTCAGTTTGGGTTTCAGCAAGCTTATTTAACAAAATATCCCTAGATACTGAGTCGAAAGCAGAAGTGTAATCTAGGATAGTGCAGCGAACAAATTTAGCCCCTTTGTCTAGACTGGAGACAATGGTATGATGCAAGACTGCAGCTGCATCTAAAGTACTTCTACTTTCTAGATTCTTTGGAATCGTTAAGGGCTTTAAGTGAATGTTCAAGATTAAGTAAGAGCAACTTTTCGATAGTTTTTGAAAATGGAGAGGTTATAGCAATAGGTCTAAATTTGACACATCTTCCACTAGATGACTTAGGTACAGGTACATTTTAATGTCTTTCTCAACGACTGAAAGAACATTTCTGGAAAAAGATTCATTGAATATGTTAGTGAGAGGATGACATAAGGCATCTGCACAGTTTTAATGTATAGTCGCTTATACTACTGATTGTGATTTATATGAGTAGTTGGATACCACTCACATCAAACAATTATACTTGATAACCAGCCGTATTGAAGTGATCTAGTTGACAGACGGTAACTTCTCGAGTTTGAAACTGAGATCATCAGTGATGTGACTGGCTTGGCTCAGCCCAGAGAACTGGGTCAGATGAAACCTCCTGACTTCTGGCTGACTACTTCTGTGAACCGTGTTATGCCTAATAACAGTGGCATGTGGCACTGGATAACTTTATACAATGAATCTTGCCATGCTATTTAATTTATCAAACAGATCACATGTCATCACTTTGATCATAATAAATTTAGTCTCCTAAAGAAGCTGATATTCCTGATCTTTCTAATCATGGTGGACTGGATTATGCGTTAGACAGTCTGTGGGGAGTGACAAGACAGGAATACGCTGCCTTGACTCTAAAAGATATGGATTTCGCGCGGCTGGATGATTTATGTTTAATGTCAGACAAACTCGAAGACTTATAGGTGAAAACCATCAAAGTGGTTGAAGAAGCAAGCTGACAGAGAAGGCAGGACTCCAGACGAACATAGAGAAGACGGAGGTGATGAGGATAACCAACCAACCACCACTAAAAGCAACAACAACAATCAGCACCAATCACCATCAATGGGAATGATTCGACGGAGGTCATCACTTCCTTCACCTTTGTAGGCAGCATCGTTTCAACTACAGGTGACACCAATAAAGATCAACAGCTACCTTATCTCCATACTAAGGATTAAGTGGTGAGCCAGAAAGAATCAGCGACAAGAAACTCTTCAACATATATATAGGAGAAAATGGAGATGGATCGGTTGGGCGTACGTTGAGGAGGCCATCGAACGACACTGCGCCCAATGCAGGCCATCGGTTGAGTGAAATCGCAACAGGAAGCGACGAGTGGGTAGTCGGTGTGAGGGTGAAATGGAAGAGATCGTGGAGGTTGTAGGAGAAGAGAGATTATGATTAGTAGTGGACCCAGTTGAAGAGGACAGCGGAAAGTAGAACAAAGTGGAGATGTATTGTTGAAGCCCTATGTTCCACTGGGAACCCAAGGCAATAATAATATAATAAAGAAGCTGAGTTGTGAAATTTCGCTTCAAACTGAGGTTATATATTTTAAAAGAGGGCTATTCATAAGAAATCCGGAATAGATGCATTCATGTTTCCAAGCATCTGTCAGTATAACCCAGCTGTACACCTGACAGAACTGGAGCAAATTCAAAGTTTTGTACATACTCTAAACTTGTGACATCACGAAATTATTTGATGTAATTTCAGAGTGTTTAGAAAATCAAACAAAGATATATCCTGAAGATACTACTGAGAAGGTTGTAGATTATCAAATGAAACCTTCAGCAAAACGTAGTTTCGATTTTTTAAATAATCCGGGATTGTTTGTAGTGATTCAATCAGACTTGGCATATAAATGATCCCACAAATTGAAATATTTTGGTTAAGATGACATAACTAAGCTATTCATCCACTTGGACTAGGTCTCTATGTACATTGCGACAGCTAGCCAATGTCACCGGCAAGTAATTGTCCACACTGTAGACAAGGTTGTCTCCACCGCTTACGACTTCTCAGGCAACTTCATTCTGTAGCCTATCGTCAGTGAGCATCCGATTATTTGTACTTTGTAAAACTTCGATTTTTTTAACTTCTTCGATCACGAATTTATATCATCTGGCGTCCTTAGAGTCCTGAGATTGACTCCTTTCAGGGTCATGACCACATACTGCTGAAGAGTGGTTCGACGCAGCTGTTGCATGCTTCCTGGTTCTCAGTGATCCATGATCATACCTGAAAAGAATCAGATCCCCGTAGACTGACTCTTGAAAATAACTACATGATTCAGCTAAAGTTTCTTCAAATCATAATAATATCGTTTCTGTGCTTTCTTTCTCCCTATTATATTCAATTAGCCTATATTATACGGTCGAATATTTCCTATGCTTGTTGATTTACACTGGCAATTGGAAAGGCGTCAGTGTATTAAACAGGGCAATAATGAGACAGCATTGCATAAATCTACAACAGGACAACAACCAACTGGTCGATCGTCTCCCAGTGATGAAGCATGTCATATGTTCGATTCACTTATCATTGCTGGATTGGCACATCTTGTCGAGATATGTTCATCAGGTGATTATACAGATTTTATAGAGAAAGATTTAATAAGTATTTTTCAAAAAGCTTCAAACTTAAAGGTAAGCTAACAGGTAAAATTATTTGAAAAGGGTAGAGTATTTGAAAGCATACCACATATATATATATTATATTGCATGATTAATCGCTTATGTTTTTTTCCAATGCTTTTGAAGTTGATGTAATGATTGGGTTGATTTTCTGGGAGGGAGAATGTCTACCCCTATATCCAACCTTCTTCCGTATTTTGGGCCTTAGGATCCATTAGAAAACGAAGCACATTCTTCTAGCGATTTTTGTTTCAAAAGAATGGACACGGAACAAAGAGTACTCTTTTCGATAAATTCATCATCAGGTTCTACAATTATATATACATTATAATGAATGAATTAGTCTTATGAACGACATTAATGTTTAAATAACATCAAATCAATAATATTGATAGATTACAGCTGAATAGCATCAACATAAAATAAACTGAATGTCAGAAGAATTACGAAACATAATATTACAAATTCATGAGTTTATAGTCTCTACTGAGGGCCAGGGCAGTAATAGTGGCTGGCTGGACTTGTTTCTTTTGAACACAGAGCACTGGTTGTTTGAGGCGAATTGCAATAGCCTCTGCTGTTTGGAGCATGCGATGCTTCAGTGATTTTGGTAATTTGTTAGGCACCCGGTAGATTATAGAGAAAGATTCTTCTACGCTGGCTTTGTGACCGGTTTGCACCAGATGGTCTAATATCAAGCTGTTGGTAGTTTTAACTACACCTTTACTTAGCCATAGTGAGAGCGCGAAAAATCAAGTTCCTAGAGCGCAGTTGAATTGATAAATACAATTTGAAGTGCCTAGTCTAGGTACTTCATCTTTCAGTCAAGGTAGCACCATCGGTCGTGTAGAGAATAATACGTGTAGTTCGCCAGCATTAAAAGTTCTTTGAACTGATTTTCTTAATTTCTTCGTAATTAACTCGCTTGGTATATCGCCTATGAATTGTAGTCGTATATATAAAGGCTTCATGTTTACAGACAGTGAGTAGTCCTTTTCCGCTTTCTTTGTCATGTGTTTCTTGATACATTTTTCAGGATAACCATTTTCGATTAAAGTATCATGTACCATGCTTAATTCATCTTTAATTACTTCTTCAGAGCATATAGCTCTAACTCTGTGGCTAAGGGTCTTCAATAAATTCCTTTTGTAATAGGTGGGAACGAACCTGTGAAAGTGTGTATATTGTCCTGTCCAAGTACTTTTTCTACGTAAAGTTCTTTTTATGCTACCGTCTGGCTTTCTCGTAAGTAAGACATCCAGGAAGGCAATTCTGTCTTGGGATTCCTCTTCGCATGTGAATTTCATAGCCGAATGTACTTCATTGAATTCAGTAATTATTTACTCCTATCAGAACCATTGCTGGAGTTCCGTTTTACTTATTCCTCAAATAGAGAAGGGGCAGTTGCAGAAACATTTTTGCAGCCTGTTGAAAATGCTTTCGGTGAGGGCTCCAAGTCTCCAAATTATACAGAAGCGTTCATTTGACACTAACGCTGAATGTTGCAGATTTCCATACTAAATTCAGATTACTGCAGTTCTCTCTTGACAAGCTTTCACATCCTCATCCGTGACGTGTGGAGCTGAAGCGATGTCATATAGATTTCACAAGGGAAAGACCTGATTTCTTTTGATTCCACACTAGTTATTAACTAGTGCCATATGTTGACCCCTTTGTTTGTTGCAGATTGGTTTCTATCAGTCAAGTTTTCGCATTGTGGCCACCAACATGCTAGGTGGCTTCTCGCCGATTGCTTCTAACCATCTATTAACAATAATTCACAGTGCACCGTGATGGCAAACTGTCTAGCTTGTTTGGGGCCACATTGCAAACTTGACTGTTAGATAGGCCTATACGCATACATTACACTAGTTACTGACGACTGTCCAATTAAAGATATCCAATACAGTCCTGCAGGAGGTCAATCGCGAGTCCGAATAGCGCAGTGGTAACGTCTTTGACTGCAGCACTGGGTGACGCGAGTCGGAATCCCAAGGGGATGGGACATAAGTCACTTCCAAGTTACAGATACGTCTAGGTGACGAGTGCTAAACAGTGCGAAATCCATGATAGGCAAGCCTTCCAGTCGATTACCTCTAACCATCCAATAACAGATCTGATTTCCCCCAAATTTCTCCCGTTCATGCTTCTTGTTGTCAATGATGGTAGCTAGGTAACTTCATCACTTCTGTCTTCTCTATGTTTACTTGAAGTTCTGTCTTTGACGCATGCTTCTATTCTCAACTTGTTACTTTTCGCCTTTACATCTTCAAGTTCGTTGAAAGATAAGTAATTAAAAATTGAGGGAGAGCCAACTTTCAATATCCTCAGCCTGTAAGACTACAGAATGTATATTGTCATGCCGTTTTACCCCAATAATGGGCTTCAACAAAGCTAGAGAAACAGCTTGAGTGGGACAGTATACAGCCATTTGACCCTATTGGTTCCTTACAGCTGCACACAATTTAAAATCAACTTTAGTGTTTCTTTAAATTACCCACGAACTTTAGTCACTGAACATACAGTTGAAGACTACTAATATTGCGTAGTAAATTTATACAGCGGAAAAGAGTTAAAGTTTTGAATAAAACTTTTATTATACTTTAAAATAACCAAAATACTCTTCAAAAATTTGAAACGGACAATAAAAAAAATTGAACAGAGGTGTAAAATCAAAACTAAACACAGAGGCTAAATAATTCAGCGGGACAGAGATCAGATAATTTGAAGTTTGCAAACTAAACTTCGGTTTCCTTTAAGAAGCTCAAATTTAGTTTTATTGTTTCAGTGGCAGTAGAAGTTCATTCCTGAATATACTAGTTCGGTTTCAACTGTTTACTTACCATGCTTCGGGTAAAACGTTTCGAAAACCAGAACCAACCTGACCTTTAATCCTCTTGAATCATTTTCAAACATCAGTTTCATGGTCACGATTTATCTGATGGCAGTCGATTGAATTATTGATGACTTTCATACCACTAAGTTACAGATTTCCCTGAAGTGTGATTAGATATGTGGTCCTCCTATGTATGGGCATTTACACACGCATGTAAGCAGGTGAATGCAAAATTCTCTTCACGGCAACATTTATGCTGCAATTGTTTCTTCCAGACATTTCATCATCTTTGAAAGTGTGTGTGTACATGAGGTTTGTCAAGTTTAGATAATTAATCAGTTAGTACAAGAATGATCTAATATAGAAACAAGGTTAATTAGACAGCAACTAAAGTAAGATTGGGTTAGTACGTCATATGACGTAATATAATTGAATAAAATGTTTCAACCGAGGTCAGGATAACAACAGAGGTAAATACAGGTAGAGACTAAGTAGAGGGGGGCAGAGAATAATGTCATTTAAATTAGGACTAAAATCGAGCAAATAAATTGGATGACGTAACACAAGTGACTAGAAATTGAGCGTTTTTCAAGTCAGTAACATTGGTAATGTTTTTTTGATAACAGCTTGATTCCACACCGTATTTTTGGTACAAGTATGGAATTTCCGGCATGTGATATCGGTAGCCCAAATTTTGCCGGCCAACCATTGATATCAGGTGTGCGTCGGCAGGGGATCGAACCCCAGACCATGAGGTGTAGAAATTAAATCGGGTGGGAGTAGAGAACAGAAAAGTTAAGAATGTAAAATATTACAAATGAAAAGACAAATAATACTAATGAAGAGACAGAAAGAAGTAAAATTTACCTGTCGGTTTACTGACTTCATATATATTCCTGTGACAAGTCGGTGTGTGATCAGATTGTTCGAAATGTGTTGCGCCAGTATGCACATTACACGATTCAGACAAATATTAAGTCTTCTTATTGCCTCGTTGTATAAATTCACAAATGGAACACTCATTATTTTAAATACTATTATTCCCTTATGTTCTCATTAGAACATATCATTTCAAAACTCACCTCAATTTCATCTTGATCTGTGTAGTCCTGCTTACCTGGCTCCACGATCACTCATAAGCTCCCATTTGCTCCTCACCCTATTCACCTAGTCCAAACTCATTGTTTCCCGTCATCTTCCTACTCGAGATATGCCCTGGCAAGTGCATTATGTTGTTCAACAGTCTCTTTAGTGTGTGTCCAATCCATCTCCACTTTTTTCAGCATATTTTTTGGGCAAGAGGTTCTTGGATGGTTCACTGCCTGCCAGAGTTCATTTCCACGTATCGTTTCTGGGTAGGACTTCAGGTGAACATAGAGAAAACAGAGGTAATGGAGATTCCTGGACAAGAGCAACAACAGACAACAGTCAGCATAAATGGGAGGAACCTGAAAGGAACAAATTCTTTTACCTACCTGGGAAGCATAGTCTCAACTAAAGACGGACGGAACTGACAAGGATATCAAAGCAAGAATCGGAAAAGCAAGAGAAGCTTTCACTACTGTCAAGTCTGTGTGGAGGTCAACAGCATTCAGCATCAAAAATAACATCCGGATTTTCAACTCCAATGTGAAGTCAGTGCTACTCACTATACGGATCGAAGACTTGGCCAGAGCGTCATAAAGAGCATCTCAAACAAACTACAGACCTTCATCAACAGTTGTCTTCGCTCAATACTCAAGATCAGATGACCGGCCAGGAAAGATCAGCAACAGAGATCTCTGGCAATGAGCGAACCAACACAGCAGGAACCGATTGTGAAACAAATAGGCAGGAAGAAATGGAGGTGGATTGGCCATACTCTGAGGAAACCATCAAGTGACATCACTAGACAAGCCATTGCTCGAGTGGAACCCGACAGAATGGGAAGTGGCGAGTTGGTCATTAGTGCAAGGGTGACTTGGAGGAGGTCATGTGAAGAGGAGATGAAAGTATGTGGGCAGACTTGAAGCCAAGTGAACACTCTAGCAGAGAACCGAACGCAATGGAGACGCATGGCTGAAGCCCTATGTTCCTCTTGGAATTAAAGGAAACAATAATAATAAATAATAATATCGTTTCTGGCCTCATGGTTTTCATTACCGAGTCTAGTATTCCAGTCGAATCTAAGCCAGGAAAAGAAGGACAGAAGGCTTGGTGTGGGTGTGTAGCTATCCTACCTGGAAAAATCGATCCAACTACTACAGAAATCACAACACACAGAGCAAAAGAGCGATGTTTTCACTGATAATAATTATTATAATGAGCAATAAAGGTATGTTGTTCAACCTGAAACAAGCTAGAAAACTCCTCACGTATACTATTTAATTGCAGGCCATTTAGAAATACTCGTGAGCGGAAATTTAGATTCAAAGAGACAAAATCTGATCGCATTATGCTGAGTGGATTTATGCAATCCATCGTTCTGAATGACCATCTTCTTGGGAATTTGTAAAAAATATACGTCTCTTTATCTCCTTTTGTTTCTATGACTTAACTAGAAAACACATTTTCATAATATCTAATGCCTAAGGCTATCATTATTGATCACTTGTTGATTGCTTCTCAAATATGCGATATCTGGTCATATTTATATTTTTCCTTGAGTTTTATTCCTGTACTAATTATTTCTAATTAAACAGTAAGGGAAAGATAAGAGAAAAACAGACAGAGAAATTGTCAGTTATTTTTGAGTATGAGTCAGTTTAAGAATAAAACTTGTGCACTGTGGTGGTACAGTATAATTCCATTATGGGTAAAATTTGTTTTTATAATAAAGTCTCACAGTGCTATACAGTAATGTTTACTGATGACAAAGTTTCTAGCATAATTTATGCCTCCTCATAATCATATCAAGGTACTCACTCACACAACTTTCTAACTTCGTTTATACAATTTCATTAGTTTTCATCGCTTGATTTGATTGGTAGTAGCACTGTTCATATTTCCCGTATGAGTAATGAATCATTCCTATTGAATGTGTTGGGTGTAGACTCGATGAACAAAGATTCAGTAATCAGCCTCTCTCTCCGACAACCTACCTATATCACTTTTCTGAAATGTAACTCTGTTCCACCCTAATGTGTGGTTGTGTGTTAATGTATGCAGTGCAATTGCTGAACTTTTTCTAAATTATTTATCTTTTCGGGGTCAACCATTCTAGCCTTAGCTAAATTCTTATCTTCCAACAATCTGACTACACCTGAACTACTAGTCTGACTTATGCAGTTGACCTCACAGTCATTGCAAGGTATTTTGTAAATTATATTATTTTGTCTAATTGGGTCAACCTACAAGGTCCTTTAACCTACCAAGCTTGTCCTACCTGAGTGAGTTTGTAGGTTTAAATGCCACTTTAATCCCTCTTATACTGAGAATCCTAAATAGGGTCTCAGATGTCCATTCCTCATTTGGTATAACAGTAGATGCCTTATATTCTCTCTTATTTATGTTATCATTACTAGTTTCACAATTATTTTTATTTTTATTTTGGCCTTTTTCAATCTTCCTAATGAATTTTACAGGATAGTTATTTGATACCAACGCCTCTTATATCTGTTTCATTTCATCATTTAGGTCTTTTTTTGTGCTACTTAGTGTCATTGTTCGGTTCGTTAAACACTTAACTAAGCCTGCCTTAACAGTTAACGGATGAGATGAATTAAAGTCTAAATATCTATTAGAATGCGTTGGCTTTTTATAAACGCTAGTGTGCAGTTTACCTTCTATTCTTTTTTTTTTTAATTGATTATTCCGTCCACTAGTGAGTTTATATGGGCGTTTTTAACAATGTGAGTGGAAGTGTCATCCACATATCTCCACCATATTTTTGGAGTAGGATTAAATGCATTAAGAGCCATATTTTCCCAACTATCTGTAAGTATGTCTGCTACAATAAGGGATATTTGTGATCCCACTGCTACACCTTCTGTTTGTCTATATATTTTGCCTTGAAATTTAAAGATAGTAGATGTGAGGCATAACTGAATTCCTAAAATAATTTCTTCACTGGGCAACTTCTTCTTATGAGTGAGTCAAGGATCTGCAGGTAGTTCTTTTTTAACTGCTTCTAAGGCCATATTGATTGGTGTGTTAGTATAAAGGCTAGTTATATCAAAACTAACCATTGTTTCATCATTCTCTAGTTGAATGTTATTTGGTTTATTTTCCATCTCATATGAATTAATGTCGAGTTTGAACGATTTCTAATTGGGCATGATATTATAATCTACTATTAGTCATATGGGGTAACCCCGTTTATGTATTTTAATAGTACATTACATTCTACTAGCATTATTAGTTTTAGGCATTAAATTAAACCATTTTGACTCACCCAGTGACGATTTCATTCTGCGTATTAATTCCGCTGTAGATTTCTTAATCTTATTCATTATTGTATCTACAGGCTTCTTAATTTCCTCATATGCAACTGTCTCAATATGTTCAGTGACTTTCTTGATGTAGTCAGATTTATCTAAAACTACTGTGGAGTTTGCTTTGTCAGCTTTTTCGATGACGATGTTTTGTCTTGTTTTAGACTAATTAAAGCTAGTCTTTCCGATGCTGTTAAGTTTGATTTTGCTTTACTTTTGATTTTTCAGGGTTATATAAACGAAGTTAGAAAGTTGTGTGAGTGATTACCTTGATATGATTATGAGCGGCAATAAATTGTGCTCGAAATGTGGTCATTAGTAAACATTACTGTATAACACTGTGAGACTTTATCAAAACAAATTTTACCCATAATGGAATCAGTCAGTTTAGGCTTGTCCGGATGAATATAATTCAGTTTTAAAAAGAAATAATCAATAGTTTCTAATTAAGCGTGAATATCAATCAAATATAGAATGATTGATTATGATTCTTATTGGCTCATCAATCAACCAGTTCCGTACCATGTCTGATGAATTGTAAGTGTTAAAAAGACGATAGAAACAGACAGAGAGAGAAATGACGTTTAAATTGGGGATAGTTTTACGGATGGTATGTAGAACCAATACCGACAGGTTAACAGGAGAAGAAGACTGGTAGCGAAAACAAGACGCCAGATGAACATAAAGAAAATGGAGGTGATGAAGATACCCAGTGACACAAAAACAACAGACATGAATCCCTATCAACGGCAGATATTTTAAGGCGGTTAATTGTCTCACTAATGTAGGCGGCATCGTTTCGACTCCAGCTGACACAGATGAGGATACTGGAATTACTCAGTTTCAGAAGGGCAAAATAAACCCTGAATAATCCAAAATCAGTGTGGAAATCTAATTCACTCGGCTGAATTAGCAAGGAGGTTCAGATTTGAAACGATCCGAAGGCACATCATGAGCATCAGGGAAAGCATTTTCCACAGGCGTTCACTGACAGCTTCCTTCACTCTCTTGATAGTGAATACTCTCAGTAGGAAAGGATGAACGATATGGAACCTAGGCAAAAATCGATCGAAGATCCTGTCGCCAAACAAAGGTACACAAGGAAATGGAAAGGTGTTGGAACCTGTGCTTAGGAAACTGTTGAGTGATATCAACCTCCTGACAAGACCTGTACTAGGTCATGAGTGGGCATGTGTCCGTCAGTATTGTGGAAGAGATCTTGTAGAAGTGTGAAGAGTGTAGCAAACAGACTGAAGACTTGTATCCCACTCAGAACCCAATGGATTAATTATATGATCTAAAACATATTACGGTAATAATGATTTGCACGATCGTCGCAGTCTCCAAATGCCGAGTCCACAGATCAATCGGGATTTTGTCAAGCATGACATGGCAGCGAAACCGTGGAAAAAAAGAGATCATAAATCCAAAGATAAGCTTCATGAAAAATCCAAGTCATGGCTATTATAATTAGATTAGCAGATCAGACCCTGTTTGTGCCATCAGTATTCTTTCTTTTTATTCACTTATGAGCAGTTCGAGGTTTGTGTTTCCTCAATAATATCGTGGATAATCACTGGTGAATGTGCTCCCTTACAATTACCATAGTTAACTGACGAATCCTTTTTTTAAGTATTGCCTAATGCTTACTAGTGACTTGGCACAGAGCGAAGTACCTCGAAGATTTAATAAGAAGTCCCAACTAGTCAGTTCCACCAAGTTGACCGTGAAGAGAGATACTCACCAATGATACTCTCTGGCACAGATTAAAATTGATGGGACGGTTGCCAAATGATCTACAAGCTCGCCCTGTAACCTGGAATTCCTGGGTTCGTTCCTTAGTTCGTTGGGTCATTGATGCGTACTGTTGAGGAGTGACAGGAAAGGGGCATTAGGTATTTGTCCAGAACGCCTTGGTTTTAATGGGTTTCTAACTGAAGTCGGTTAATAATCAGTCTTGTAACCTGCTTCCCTCTTTTTTCTTCTTGTGATTTCAGACAAAAATATGCTTAGTACGCTACACAAGATCATTTTTAAGACAAGTTCCTGATAGTATAATTGAACAGTATATTTTACCGTTGGTTAAACAATGTCTGGTGTCAAATAATGTTCTTGCTCAAGTAAGATTGTATTTTAATTCATTTCAAAAAAAGTTTGTAAACGTTTGATGTTTCTTTTAACTACTTAAGAAACCATTCGTTTTAATTTTAATTATATTCTTTTGCGTTATGAGAGTGACATAGAGACTCAGGATTTGAGAGTTAGATGAAGATAGATAGATAGACAGATAGACAGATAGATAGAAGATAGATACACAGATAGATAGATAGATAGATAGATAGATAGATAGATAGATAGATAGGTAGGAATATGCCATGGATGCAAAACCCGCTCACTACTTATTGCTATTTTCATATAATACAGTGTCTTTTGAAGTTTGTATAATGAATATTTGTAAAAATAATATGAAAGCAATTAGAAGGAAGATAATTACAGAGAGTAAATTGAAATATGATGCCATAGTGTATATATATATGTTGAGTGATTTTTTATACAGTCTTGTTAAAACCAAAGAGGACCAAATTAGAAGCTCTTTGGGCTTTCAATTAACGAAAAAACACAACTTATAATTACAGGGATTTTAAAAACCTCTTCAAGCGAAATGGAATATAAATATGAAAAAAACGGTAGCAAAACATCAGCATGAAAATAACAAGATTTTCAAAAACAAGCATCCATTAGCATCATCAAAGAAACGGAATTGCTGACAGTGCCATCAAGTTTCAAAGTGAATTATTCAGATGTCAGCAGAAAAAGTTAAAGAGTTTTAATTCGAAGACTTAGATACTCAGTCATCAAAAGTTTCACCCAAAATTGGTGGAATTTTCAACCAACTTCGATTGTGAGATTTTTGTAGGGACTCCATTTGCTTCAGGTTAAACCATGAATTGATATCAGTTAGAAAAGAACCATTGAAAAGCAGCACTGGAGTACTACAGAGAGCGGTTTCGTCAGCCTAGTTCGGGACTCATCGGCAGTACACAACCACTGAGTTTTGAACCAAGAACCCTCCGGTTACATGGAAAGATCGTATACCAGTCAGCCGCTAGGATCCGATTCAGTGACCAGTGGATGAATCCTAACTTCTATCAATTCGTGATTTTAGCACGACTAGCACTAACCACTATCATCGGAGGGAACTCTTTCCTCACCCTCGACTGGATGGATCTCAGTGGTTACGACTTCTCAATAAAACTCCAGGCAACGTCTTCCAGTAGCCAATCACTAGTGAGGATCATTTTTAATTATCAAGAATTGATTTTTGTAGGGATTCTGTTTGTTTCAAGTTAGACAAGGGAATGATATCAGTTAGTGAGCCATTGAAAATCACCAATTGATGGACATTAAAATCCATGAGTCACTGAGTCGGACTGCACTGGCTGAATGATATACGAGTACGCCTAATAATCGGTACGTCCTGGGTTAGAGACCCCTGTAGTGAATGCGTACTGCTGATGATTCCGAACTAGGTTGTTAGGTTTTTGTTCTCAACCAACGGAATTTAGAGAGATAATTGAAGTCCAGGGAGCACCGGACAGTAATCTGATCGTCAGATCGTCAATGAGGGCAACTGGATAGATTTCCTGAATTTGCAATGGGAATTTCTGACCATAGGGATCCACTATTTCAAGATGGGGAGGACGCTTATTGAAAGCATTTTTACTAAGGGCAGCGTTATAACACGACTTGAAAAAGTTAGAATTCACGGGTCATTGAATTCAAAACCAGGTGACTGAATAGTGAACGAGGTTGGTCTGGTAACCTGAAAGTCCTTAGTTCTATCTGTTTTGGGGCATAGATGTTCGTTCACTGATGAACAGTCCCAAAATAGGATCAAACAGCTTTTCAGTGCTCCATAAAAATTTCAGTGATCTCTCTAACTGATGTTCGTTCTTGACGAATGTCTGACAACTGAAATTAGTGCTTTCCTATTTCTTCACGCTAGTTGATAAAAGCATCTGTAAGAAATTGTGTTCCACCTGTGATTGAAACCTTTAGCTTTCACTAATAGCTTTCTACGCTTTAACCTGACTGATATTCATATCAGTGAATAAGCTTGAATCTCGAACACCGATTGTAAACATAAGGTGAACTATCGTCCCACTTATTCATAGTCAGTATCCCTCAGTACCAGACTGAGGGATGGTGACTAGCAGTGGAATCCAGAATAACGCGCACTTCGTCCGATTTGGTACTCATCAACTGTATGTACCTGCATTCCCCAGCGATTGATGATGTTTCCACTAAGCCTCAAACCAACTGGCCATAGTTTCAAACGTCAAAGCGTTATCCACTAGACCGACTGGGCCAAGAGAGCCACCTCTTGTGCAACGGGTCATTTAACTATTTAATTCAAATTTAGACTTACCCATCAATGGATTGGACTGAATGGCTCGGTCTCAGGTTGACATGTTGGCTTCTTGTGAAGATGCTTCGACGATGTTTAAGCATGTGATTAGAAGTTAATTGGAGCATGGTGAGTAGCAGGTACATCCAAATGAGGAGTCCCAAACAGAACAAAATGCGCGTCAAGCTGGATTCCACTGCTAGTCACCTTCTACCAGTTAACTTCTAACTACATGCCCAGACATCGTCGAAGCATCCGCACAAGAAGCCAACATGTCAACCCGAGACCGAGCCATTCAGTCCAATCCATCGATGGGAAAATCTAAAAGTGAGTTAAACAATATTTGAATAGTTGATCTCATGGGCTGAAGCACTGTTGTTCCATCTGAAACGTCTGAGTCATACATTTATCCTCGAAAGCGTATGTTCACGACTGAATGAACGTAGTCCCTAAGAAAGATGTAACTTTAATAACCTCAGAGAAGATAAAGCTAGAGGGTTGGGTGGAACATTTTGAGTAACAGTTCAAATGAACCACAGCAAAAACTACAGCTTACCATCTGACCTCTAGCCAAATGAATAACTGAAATCAGCCTACCAACTGTAGCTGAAGTTTCGAAAGCTGTAGAACAGACTAGACCATCAGTAACTGTTGGTATGACTCCAGAAACTATTAAGGATAACTGTAATGAACTATTAACCAGTTTAAATAACATAATAGCTCACATTCAGGATTTCGGAATAGTCCAAACCAGTTGATATAGATCCTTGATCATTTTAGTTTATAAGTAAAGCTGATAAATCTTCCCCTGATAATCGCAGAAAGACTGGTTTGATTGAATAGCACTCAAGATTCTAAGTTTCATAGTCATTCGAAGACTGGAGTATTGTAATCTGGAGAAAACCAAGCCGGCTTCATGCCTAGATGAACATGCCTTGATCATATATCCTTTTTGACAGGTTTCGGTAGATTCACATACTTACCAGAGAAATTAGACTCTTTAGATAGAGAAGTGAGATGAAATTTCTCTACAGCATCCTTTGGAAAGTTAAATCTTATCTGTTTTATAATGTAAATAGCGATCAAGAAAGCAAGCATAACTGCACGATGATATATATTACTGATAGGTTAATATGAGTAGTTGAATATGACTCACATCAACTAATAGTGGTTACTAGTCGTCTAGATAGGATGGTTGATTCTCTCATTCAATACGAAGCTCATCAGTGGTGTATCCACGTAGCTTGTCAGGATTTGCAGTCTTTCTTTTAATTGGTTTCAACTCTGTAAACTTCGTCCAACCGGGTACACTAATAATAGGTGGATCCTTAATCAAGTGTAAAAGTAATTCATATGAACTGTCGTGAAGATTTGACAGAATAGTTCTAAAATATGTGGGTGCCGAGTGAGAAGTAGACATTTGTAAAACAATTATATTTGTAAAATCTCAGCGAGATTGAAATGAGTAATTCCAATATTTCGTTCGGCAATCTGGTCCGAACTCCTTCAGGTAAATTAATCGAAATTAACATAACAGAGGTTTATATATAAAAGGAACATCACTTGTTCTTAAAAAACTTTATCCAATCATGTGTCATTCAACAAGTATAATAAACAAAATTTTATGAGTTGTGATCAAAATTTGACCTCGAACTTACAAATATTGGTCTACCATTGTTAAACACTTTAAACAGAGTGTGTATGTGTGTGTGGGTGAACAGTTATGAAACATTTCTTAAAGTCTCCATAAGAAGATATGGAAAATCGAGAATTTTGACCCAGTATGATTAATTAGTGATACATATCCATTTTTTATTTATTAATAAGGATTTCCTATGCATCAACTAACATCACACCTCCATGTCTGTTCAAACTGTTAGTATCTAGAATTTTATGATTACACGTATTTTCAAAATTATGGTGTTTAGGATTAGCGTTTAGTAGAAGCCCCCTGTCGCACTTATTGCTTTGTCTTCTTTCTGAAGGTTGAGCTACTTCATTCGACCTACTGGAGTTGTCAGGTGACTCAACAGCTACGGATTTTGGATATGCATTCTGTTGCAGACAACGGAGAGTGAAAACACGATGATTGTGCCAGTTACACAGTTTCTTTGTTAATTTAATTCGATTGTAAAATAATTCAAATGAACTGTCGTCAAGATTTGACAGAATAGTTCTAAAATATTTGGGCACCACGTGAGAAGTCGAAATTTGTAAAAAAAATATATTCGTAAATTCTCAGCGAGATTGAAATGAGTAATTCTGGTCCGAACTTCTTCAGGATCAGATTGCCGAACGAAACGTTGGAATTACTCATTTCACTATCTCACTGAGATTTTACAAGTATAATTGTTACAAGTGTAAAAGTAGTCTGGAGTTTGGATTACTCCGATCTGGCTGACTGGTAAGTACTACTCGTCGACTAGTAGTTGACCATTATCCAACTACTGAAATCGATCCATCAGTAGTATACAGCTTCATCATGTCTATGCTACTGAATTTTATTCATCAACATGAAATATACCTGACTTTTAAAAGATTTACCATAATTTGAATAAATATGTTCCTTGTCTACCTACATGAGATGATCACTATTCATTGTCTCTCTCTCTGTCTTTTATCCGTGTTAATTTCTTTTTGCAGATAATTGCATTCAATAATTTAGAATTATTAATTGGATATATTTCACTGTCAGATTTAGAAATTATTGTATTACAGAAAATTAAACAAGCTTTTCAACAACATAATCAAAAATTACAAGTATGTCCATGTTATTATGTGCATAAATATATGTGTACATATATAATATGATGTAATGAGTTTTTGCCCTGTTACTCCATTCTGAATATTATTATTATTGTTTCCTTTAATTCCTAGAGGAACATAGGGCTTCAGCTGTGCGTCTCCATTGCGTTCGGTTCTCTGCTAGAGTCTTCACCTGGCTCCAAGTCTGCCCACACGTTTTCATCTCCTCTTCACATGACCTCCTCCAAGTCTGCCCACCCTCGGACGACCAACTCGCCGCTTCCCTTTCGGCCGGGTTCCACTCGAGCGATGGCTTGTCTAGTGATGTCACTTGATGGTTTCTTCAGAGTATGGCCAATCCACCTATCTCCATTTCTTCCTGCCTATTTGTTTCACAATCGGTTCCTGTGGTTGGTTCGCTCACAGAGATCCTTGTTGCTGATCTTTTCTGGCCAGCCATCTGATCTTGAGTATTGAGCGAAGACAACTGTTAATGAAGGTCTGTAGTTTGTTTGAGATGCTCTTTATGACGCGCAGTGCAAGTCTCTGATCCGTATAGTAGTAGCACTGACTGACTTCACATTGGAGTTGAAAATCCGGATCTTATTTTTGATGCTGAGTGCTGTTGACCTCCACACAGACTTGAGAGTAGTGAAAGCTTGTCTTGCTTTTCCGATTCTTGCTTTGATATCCTCGTCAGTTCCGCCTGTGGTTGAAACGATGCTTCCCAGGTAGGTAGGTGAAGGAGGTTGTTTCTTTCAGGTTCCTCCCATTTATGCTGATTATTGTCTGTTGTTATTGTTGGTGATGGTGGTGCTGCTCAGGAATCTTCATCATCTCTGTTTTCTCTATGTTCACCTGAAATCGTTCCTATCTTTGATGCTTCTTCTGCCAACTTGTTGCTTTTCATCACTTGCATATCTTCCAGTTTGTGGGAAATCAGATATATATCACCATTCTGAATATACTCCGGACTAATTCTGTTAGAGAAAGGACTGTTTACAATTATTATTTATCTTCAGCCAGATTTCATTCTCCTTTTGATTGATTAATTGACCCTAAATGTTCCGCCTCTGTTGATATTTCTACTTTTTGTACGGGCGTTCAGATGACGTCTGCGTTGTAAGTCAAAGTTATCTGTTGGATGGTGACTGGGAGTAGAATCCAGGGGATGTGCAGATCTTCCAACTTTGGAAGGAATGGTCAGCTGGATGTACTTGCAATACCCAATGATAGCTATTATGATGGTTGGAGGCAATCTACTACCACAGGGAGCCTTGCCTGACCTAGGTTTCATGCTAGTTGGCACTCATCAGTCAGCAAAGCGTATCTGCAACCTCAAAGGAACTCATGTCTCACCCCTCTGAGATTCGAACCCGCGTCACACGCAGCTATTCGGGCTTGCAACTGACTTCATTTCCAGTGGGAGTGTACTGGATACTTTGATTGGACACTGCTAACTATATTATGGTGTGTCTGGTCCTTTCTTTGGTGAAGACTGAATTCTATCAGTCAGGTTTTTTTCAGTGGTAACGTCTCTGACTGTAGCACTACACTGAGGGACGCGAGTTCGAATCTTCAAGGCAGTCGCAGATACGCCTTGCTGACTGGTGAGTGCTAACTAGCACGAAACCTAGGTCAGGCAAGGCTTTCTGTGGCCGATTCAATTCAAAGTGCACCTTGATTACGAGAATGATGGCCACATTGCAAACTTGACTGATAGAAATCAGTCTGCACCAAACAAAGGATTAGGCACATCACACTAGTTACTAGAGTTCAATCAAAGTATCCAGTGATAGCTACTTCATGTGACCTGAAAGGCGTTGTTGATAAATCTCTGGCGTTCAAAACGATGAGCACTGCAGATTACAAGTGCAACCAGTCGAAGAATCCTAAATAGGAAGATATACGCATGCCGAATCCTACTATTATTCTACTAATATTCTACCAAACTGGAGCGAAATAGTTGTCAACTACCACAACCTTGATTTCCAGTGGTTGTCTAACTGATATCAGCTCGTGGCCAAATCTGTAACCAACCAAATAAATCCCTTCAAAGGAACACTTTGGTTCTAGGAGTCAAGCCTTCAATGTGGTTAATAAAATAGGTCACTCCCCATCGTAGTGCACTTTTTGAAGTGACATTAGATGGCTGACAGTGATTGGCAGGGACGTATGCAACTAGATTTTGTACAAACAACATCAACAACATCGAATTGACTGATAATTGAAGATTATCTCCAACCTCAACACACATACACACAATCATGTGGTGGGAGATGTGTCCACTCAACCCTTGTTTGTTTTATTATTTAACCTCAGACAGGGCCGTAATAAGTACACTGACTAGTCACCAAGGTCTACTGACCAATGCAGTTTTATATACCACTGGTTGATTGTAGTGTGTATTTGGATAAAACTTAGATGAATCCGTAGTGTTTTCAAGCCAGAATGAAGTACACTTTCACTCCGAACTGTGTAATTTTGGAATCAAACTGGGTGCACCGCTAATAAGTGCCGCCGGAAACGAATTGCCAAGTGTTTAGAAAACTTCGATCACTAGTAGGAGCCACTGTCAAGTAATCTCTGGTTTTCAGTGCTTCTCTAAATGACATTAGTCGGTGACCAAACTGTAAACCAATATCAGTAGTACATAGTTTCCTACTATCATCATTTATTTCATTGAGTTCTCGTCATCTGCTTACAACATAAGGACATTTTTAAGTTAATGCATAGAAACAGTTTTATGCGCTTACTCAAAGACTTCAAGTTTAAGCCAAAAAATCAATATAGGCATAGAATGGTAAAGAAGTTACTTAATAAAGACGAGGGGTTAAAGCCAAAGAATAGGTAGTCAAGTGAAAAAGCGAATATAGTTATCCAGTTGCCAGGGCAAGAAAGGCCTGATAACCGTTGTTTTCTGAACACATTAATCGGATTGCACACATTTAATGGAAATTGCTCAAGCAAACTTGAGGAGATTTGAATTGATTTGCCTGTTGATAATTTTGAAGGATCTTGATATGTCTGCCTCATGACCTGTGTCCACGAGATGCCTGGCAAAGGCACTGCTAAAAGCATTTGTTCCCTTGAGACGCAAACGTTTTGGTACATGATCAGAAAATCGAAGGTGTGCTCTTCTTCTTGTGACTGCTCCCGCAGATACATGTAAACTTGTGAACAAAGTTTGAGCTAGGTAGGATATCGTCCGACTTTCGACTGCACCAGATAACCAGGAACCAACCTTACTACAGGATAGGCTCTGGCTAGTGACGCATTCAATTATCGACTGATTATTCCTGCGATATTTAATCACCTTTAAAATCAAGTTGAATGAAGACAGGCTTTTCCCCATTGTGATTTGTTTGACAATTGAGCCTTCACATCTTCCATACTTGTTGATGAATCTCTGAAGATAACCGTGGTGGTTTTTCAGCATCTTTTTGAGAATCATAAAGTCTTCCTCTAATCTGTCTGTAGAGCATATTCTCATGACTTTATAGAGTAGAGTTTTTACTAGTGTACGTTCATTGCTATTTGGATAAAAACTATTAAAATGTGAGTATTGTCCATTTTAACTTGAAAGTTCTATGAACGTAAACAGGGTTTTCATTATGAGCTGACACTAGTTAGAGAACCATTGGAAACCCTGGGAGTACTGGACAGCTGTTTCGTCAGCCTAGCTTGGGACTCTATTTCAGCAGTACGCACCCACCGAAGTTCGAAGTCAGGATCTTCTGGTTACAAGGCGAGCTCGTATACCATTAAGCCACTGGGACCCGATCCAATGGCCAGCCCATGAATTCTAACTTCTGCCAATTGACGACATAGCGCAACCCCTAGCCAATGTCTTCGGCGAGTATTTGTCCTCACACCCGACCTGCTGCACCCTACTGGTCACGACCTCTCACTAGAACCCCAGGTAACTACCTACCTGAATAGGGCAAGTGGCTAGTGAGTATCTCATTGATATTCAAGTATTGGTTTTCCAATGGTTCTCTAACTAATGTTAGCTCATGATGAAATCCTCTAACCAGTCAATCAAATCCCTAAAAACCAATACTTGAATATCTGTGTACGTATGTTAAAACTGTCTCTGTTCATATACTTAATAATATCCTTAGGCTGTAAGCAACTGACGGGGAATCCAACGAAATAAACGCTTATAGTACCATTTTATTCTGCACAAACAGCTCCTGTTCTTGATTTATTCCAATTCATAAAGGGGAATAAATGTATTATTATTGTTATTGTTCCCTTGGGTTCCTAGTGGAACATAGGGCTTCAACTGCACGCCTCCACTTGCTTCTGTCTTCTGCTGTATTTTTCACTTGCATCCATGTTAATCCATACTGTTTCAGTTCCTGTTCACACGATCTCCTCGCCTAGATTACTAGGTCATTAGTATTCTAGCCGGTCCCAAGCCTGGATAAAGAGGGAGGGTTGGGGCGTGGTGCTAGCAACTCCACCCCGAAAAATTAACCAAATTGCTACTAAAACTTCAACGCACAAATATATTAAAAATTCTACAAATACAAACAATGACCTTATTTTTCGCTGGAATCAGGGAAGTGAAGTGACGAAGGCTGGTGAAAACCTTCGGGAAGCCAGTCAGCCGATGTGCCTTCTTTCGATGAAAGCAAAAATAAGGACGGGGACGTGGAATAAATGTATGAGTAATTTCTATTCCCAAAATAAACTATGTCACGTAATTATACCTCTTCAAACTGCTTAGATTACAGTTACCGCCTAAAAATCGCTGATTTTATTTAAAGTTTTCTCTATAAATATTTCTTATCCACCATGTTTTGTCCAGAGAATAGGAAAAGTCATCTATCAAGTCAATCGTTCTCAGCCCAGTGGAGATTATCATATATATGAGCTAATACAGTAACAAAATTAACAAACGACACAACTGTACCTTCAAGAAACACGCATACACACACGCATACACACAAAGATAATAGGTTCACTTACTGTTCATACACCGTCTGTTGAAAGGTACTTTTTCAATA